CCTTCGCCCTCGGACCGCGGTCACGTGCGCCTCGGCCGCTGGCTAGGCGAGAGCCGCACCCCACCCCGCGGGCACCTCGCTGCGGGTGGGCCTGTGCTTTGAGTCCATACGAGCGGTGTCCAGAGGGGAAGATGGCCTCCCGACGCACTCGAGAGAGAAACTCCTCGCGGCGCGCTCACGGCTCTGCCTCGGGCGCTCTGGGCTGCTCGTGTTCTCGGGGTCCCGCTGAACTTGCGTCGTGCGTCGGCCTGGCTGCCCAGGACAGCTGGTCCTAGCCCCGTGCCGGAGCCGGGCCCGTGGGAGGGCCCGTGGTGCGTGGCCGGCCGCGGCTCATACCTGACAACACGGAACTGCTAGGATCGGGGTGCGCGGGCGAAAGTTGGGGTGCGGCCCTGGGCCGCTGGTGGAGGCTGCAGACCATCGCCGGGCTTCGGCCGGCAGACCCTGCTGGAAGGGCTAGGTCCTGAGGGGGCGGGCGGCCCGGCGAGCGCCTGCTCTAGCGCCCTGCCGTGCGGGTGCCATCTCGCGGCCCGGCTTCACCCCCAGGCCTGGTGGAGTGGTTTTCTCCTCAGAGCCACCGTGCGGACTCGTAGCCTGCAAACCGCATCTGAGCGCTTTGCGAGGCACAAGCCGGCCGAAGTGGAACTGAAGCGGCTCGGTGACTGCCCGCGTGCCCGCCTGCGAGAGGGCTCCCCGCCCTGCGGACTCGGGCTGTGCCGCCCTGTGCTGGGACGTGCTGTGGTCGGCGGGGGCCCAGGGCCGCTCCGCACTGCTGACCCCGGGCAGCGCAGAGCCCGTAGGGCCGTGGACTGCCCTGCTCCGGAGACCGGCTCCCCGCCGCCCGCCCCCCTCCCCCAGCTCAGCGCCTGGAGGTGGATGGCGTTTCGGGGACCGGGGCCAGGGGTGGCACCCCTCTCCTCGGTGCTGAGCGTGGAGACCCAGCCCCCAGCAGTGCTCCTGTGGGGCCTGCCCTCGGGCTTGAGTGACAGGACCAGGGGCCACATGGGCCCTAGAATTTGAAACGGAAAGGTGGAACGGGCATTCACCACCCGCTTCGCACTCCCCGGCCCTGGGCCCGTCGCTGCCTCGCGCTCGCCAGCACATCCGGCGGCGCCGGGAGTTGACTCCGTGCCCATTTCAGTGATGACGGCAGAGGCCCGTGCCGGCCCAGGGTCACAGCACAGCCTGGAGGTGAAGGGGCGGCCTGGAGCAGGCAGCAGGGCTGAGGACGCCACGCTTCTGGGCCGGGAGAAAGCGACCGGCCGCCCGGTGGCCAGGGAGCGCCCCAGCGCCCCAAGAGGCCGCAGGGACGGGCTCTCCGAAGCCCCGCACACCTGCCGCGCCCGCGCGGGGCCTCAGCCTTGCCCTGGGCCGGAACCAGTGGTTGCCGTGGCCAGTGTGACCGTGGCCCCCACCTCCGGACAGAGGCCGCTCCCCTGAGCGCGAGGGGCCTCTCCCTCCAGAGGCTGGAGGAGCCCCGGGTTGGAGGAGACGAGCACCGGCATCTGACCTTGGTCCCCACCTGCCGGCCTGCTCTGGGTCTCCGGAAATGCAGCTGGTGACCCCGCCTGCCCCGGGGCAGAGGGCAGCGCTGTTCCTGGAAACTGTCCAGCAACGAATCGCCCCAAGCCTCTAGCTGCTTTTACCTAGGAACACTCTGAAATTTAAAGGGCAGTATTTGATCACTGGGGGGAAAAAGCACCGCACCCCCTAAAATAAAACCACGCAAACTAGTCTAAGTTACCAGCTCCATGCTAGAGTAACATTTTCCTGAAGTACTGGACTCAAGTAGCCGAGGTGGCCATTAACTGATAGGCAAAAGGGAAATTTTTATTCTTCTAAATCGCCCTGTTCACCGCTCGAGGGCGTGGCAGAGCGGGCGCCCGAGGGGCAGGGTTCCCCAGGCGGCGCTGCACTCCGGCCCTGGCAGGCGCCCGGTGTCCCGACCACAGGCACAGAGGCGGCCTTTCCGCGAGAGGGCGCGTCCCAAGGGACGTGGCCATCCTGATGGTCTGGGCTTCAGGGAACGTCGGGTTCCCCTGCGGCGCTCAGACCTCAGGGGCGTGGGCAGGAGATGCCCCAGGAGCCAGCGTGGCCAGGCGGGGCCACGTGGGCAGCGGGACCCGAGCGGGCAGGGGTGAGCGGGCGGGTGTGGGGGAGAGGACAGGGCGGGGCCGCCGCTGCGTGGCCTGGGGGGAGCCGGAGAAGTGAGGCGACAGGGCCCCACCACTTGTGGGGCTCCGCGCTGGCGAGGCGGCTCGCGAGGGGGCGTCCACACAGACGCCCGCTGGACCCTGGGCCTCTCGCTCAGCGTCCCTTCCCGTGCTGTTTGCTTCCAGTTTGAACAGGAAAACCAGCGCCTGATCGGCGAGATGAACAGCCTGTGTGACGAGGTGAGGTAGGTCGGCTGCCCCCGCGGGGCCCCCTCTCCCCAGCGGGGCCCTGGGCGCGCTCGC